TGGGTTTAGGGTTTAGCCCTAAGCCCTAAGCCCTAAGCCCTAAACCCTAAGCCCTAAACCCTAAACCCTAAACCCTAAACTAGGCTTGGCAAGCTGTCGCAGGCGGTTTCTTTCACCCAATCCGCCGGGTAGTGCCGAAGCAGCTTTCAGGGCTGCTGCTGTACTATAGGGGCCTTAACAATTACCTCTACTATTTTTGGGGCTTCCTTATTCTATTTATAGTAAATCGGACTCCAAGACCCTATTCTAATTATTAAGGCCTCTAAACTAGTTACTACACTCTACAGGGCTATTTCTGTCTTTGCCAAACGGTCTGGTACTGGAAGCACCCGTGCTCCCAGAGACTCCAATATTCCTTAATTAAGGAATAATCCTTAAATTATAGTAGGATGCCTAATCTGATTTAAGGTATATTCTTTAATTAAGGGATATTGGAGTCTCTGGGCTTGTCTTTCAGTTCAGTCGTGCAGCTGCATCCTTGTGAGGCCATGATTGCCCTGGAGCAGGACGCTTGCAGAAGTTCAGATCAGGGTTTCGGGTTTAGGGTTTAGGGTTTAGATCAGGGTTTCGGGTTTAGGGATCAGGGCTTCAGTGCTTTGCATCGACCTTGGCCTCAGCAACCTATTCGTATACGACTCTGGATGCACAGGGTGTGAGCCCTAAACCCTAAACCCTAAACCCTAAAGCAACCAGAGCCGTCTGCGGTGAAGCTATGGGCTCCATACTGGCAGATCAGGAACGGTATGCTGCTGCTGGTGGTACTAGCCCGCAAAGCCAGAAACTCCAAAACCCAAAACCCTAAACCCCAAACTCCAAACCGTAAAACCCAAAAGAACCCGCCGGCAGGAAATCTACGAAGAGCTCTGTGCCGAAGTGCGGCGAGCACAGGCCCGGTGGTGGATTTGCAAAGGGACCCCTCAACTGTCGAGTAAAAGATAGTAATCACAATCATAATGACGGAATATTTGCACAACGACAATGATAATAATGATAAGTGTTATGTTGGCAAGAAAGAATAATACGGAGACCCATGATCGTGCCAAGACAACTAGACACATGGTCGTAGTGATAAGACCAGCCACAACAATAATAGCAAGTTCTGCAACCACAACTAGCACAGCTACAGCTACAACTACCACAGCCGGTGACGGCGACGACGGCTACCACTACGACGACGACGACGACGACGACGACGACGACTACTACTACCACTACTACTACCACTACTACTACTACTGCTACTGCTACCATTGCTACTGCTA